CCGCTGGCGGTCCGCCTCGAGAGAAGCGCTCGCCGTCGCTTCCCACGCTACGGTCCCGTGTAAAAACAACTCTCTCATGCCACCGCGACCACACGGCCCGCCGGCATGGGTGGCCGGTGATGGGTCGTTACCATGTTGGTCACTGCCGAACATGCGGAGAGACACTGATCTCAACCGGACGGGCTCGCGGAGGGGCCTTCCGGAGACGCCCAGCAGCGGCAGCAATCATCAACAGCACAGATTGTCGTATCTCGTGTATTGACTCCTTAAAGGAGGGGTTGTTCCACTCAGTGCTCGGGTCAAACATCGCGCAAACACGCATTATCATGGGAGGCAATAGACATCAAATCAAAGTCCTCGTGACAGACCCTCAGCCACGACACTGAAGTCAGGTGGGCCCCCATCCGTGCGAGCGGGATGGTGGCCCAGTGTCGCAGCCGGCACCCATTCCCTCTGGCCCAGGGCGAGCGGGATGGTGGCCAACGGTCGCAGCCGGCACCCATTCCCTCTGGGCCCAGGGCGAGCGGGATGGTGGCCAACGGTCGCAGCCGGCACCCATTCCCTCTGGGCCCAGGGAGACCGGGATGGTGGCCAACGGTCGCAGGCCGCACCCATTTCTCCCAGGCCCAGGGCGAGGCGCCCGCGGAGTCGCCGCCGTCCGCACGGCAGTCGCGGGCTCTCAGCGCAGCGAGCACAGCCTGGCCATCAGGAGTGGCGGGCGGCGGTCACGGGCTCCCAGTGCAGCGAGCACAGTCTGGCCATCAGAGTGGCGGGCGCGGTCACGGGTTCCCAGTGCAGCGAGCACAGTCTGGCATCAGGAGTGGCGGGTGCGGTCACGGGCTCCCAGAACAGCGAGCACAGTCTGGCCATCAGGAGTGGCGGGCGCGGTCACGGGCTCCCAGAACAGCGAGCACAGTCTGGCCATCAGGAGCGGCGGGCGCGGTCACGGGTTCCCAGTGCAGCGAGCACAGTCTGGCCATCAGGAATGGCGGGCGGCGGTCACGGGCTCCCAGTGCAGCGAGCACAGTCTGGCCATCAGGAGTGGCGGCGCGGTCACGGGTTCCCAGTGCAGCGAGCACAGTCTGGCCATCAGGAGTGGCGGGCGCGGTCACGGGTTCCCAGTGCAGCGAGCACAGTCTGGCCATCAGGAGTGGCGGGCGCGGTCACGGGGTTCCCAGTGCAGCGAGCACAGTCTGGCCATCAGGAGTGGCGGGCGCGGTCACGGGCTCCCAGTGCAGCGAGCACAGTCTGGCCATCAGGAGTGGCGGGCGCGGTCACGGGCTCCCAGTGCAGCGAGCACAGCCTGGCCATCAGGAGTGGCGGGCGCGGTCACGGGCTCCCAGTGCAGCGAGCACAGCCTGGCCATCAGGAGTGGCGGGCGCGGTCACGACGCCGTCAGCTCGCGGAGCTCAATAAAAGAAATATCAAAATCTAGTTTCATTCAAATTCGCCGATTGGCAGCAAAAGCGGTTCACTTCACCGCGGAACTGGTGCACTGGCGGACCACGAGCTGCAGGAACATGCCGTTTGTGAACGGATAACACAAAAGTGTTACAGACAAACCTTGTCGAGCTCAACAGCCACACAGAGGTGAAAGGCCTTTGCAAATCATTTAACATCCTTCATACACGTCTTGAAACTCCAAGGACGCAGCACACAGAGCGTCACTTCCAATCGCTTACAAAGCCGCAGATCACACCTGGCAGGCAACCTGTCTGACGCGCCCCAACCTGCTGCGGTGCCCCTGGCGGCCGTGGCGAGTACTAGCCGGGCTGCGGGGCCAGGCTGTCGATGTGTCGCCGCTGCTGGTCGATGACCAACTGCTGCTGGGCCAGCTGCCGCTGCAGCCGGGCGATGGTGGCCGCCTGCCGGCGCGCCTGCTGGTGCGGCGGGCGACTCCCGTCAGTGACCGGGCCGTGGGGCGTGTTGGGACTCCAGGTGGCGAGGCCCCAGCACGGCTCCCGTCGCAGGATAAGGCCCATGGTGCCGGTCTTCAGCACGGGTAACGGCTCTACTGCTCTTATCACCCACCATATACGTCTATTGATGATATCGCCATCATTACCCGCATCCGACTGATGCGACAAAACTCTCTCCTAGCAGAACACGCGCGCCGAATCGCCGTCACCAAGAGGCCAAAACATCGTACAGTCACGCAGGGGCCTTGTGTGACGTCACAGTGTCAAATAT